CGCGGACCATCTCCAAACCCTAAAAATACTCCATGATCTTTGAAATGTTTAACACCGCCACCATTTGTTGGTAAAAAACGTTCAGGTTTAAATTTGTTGGGTTCCGGATAGTATTGTGGATCATGGTGTAGAGCATAAATCGGTATCATTATTGATTCTCCTTTTTCAATTTTAAGTACTCGACCATCTTTATTTTTCACTTCATAGGATTGGGTACAACATTTGGTAGCCCATAAACCGGGGGGATAAATCCGCAAAGATTCTTACAAAGGCATAAAAAAACATATTTTTTTTACATTCAGGCCATGAATACAAAAAAAGATAATGTTTACTATAAAAGAATCAAATTTTTTAGAAAATAGCTCAGTTCTAGTTTTGTTCTAGTTCTGTTCTAGTTCAGTACTAGTTCTAGTTCAATTCTAGTTGAGTTCTAGCTCAGTTCTAATTCAGTTCTAGTTCAGTTCTAGTTCAGTTCTAGTTCAGTTCTAGTTCAGTTCTAGTTCAGTTCTAGTTCAGTTCTAGTTCAGTTTAAGTTCATTTTCTAGTTCAGTTCTAGTTCAGTTCTAGTTCAGTTCTAGTTCAGTTCTAGTTCAGTGCTAGTTAAGTTCTAGTTCAGTTTAATTCAGGTCTATTTCAGTTTTGTTCAGTCTAGTTCAGTTCTAGTTCAGTTCTAGTTCAGTTCTAGTTTCAGTTCAGTTCAGTTTCTAGTTCAGTTCTAGTTAGTTCTCGTTCAGTTCTAGTTCTAGTTCAGTTCTAGTTCAGTTCTTGTTCAGTTCTGTTCAGTTATAGTTCAGTTCTTTCTAGTTCAGTTCTATTCAGTTCTAGTTCAGTTCTAGTTCAGTTCTAGTCAGTTCTTAGTTCGTTCTAGTTCAGTTCTAGTTCATTTCTAGTTCAGTTTCTAGTTCAGTTCTAGTTCAGTTATAGTTCAGTTCTAGTTTTCAAGCTCTAGTCGTTCTAGTTCAGTTCTAGTTCAGTTCTAGTTCAGTTCTAGTTCAGTTCTAGTTCAGTTCTAGTTCAGTTCTAGTTCAGTTCTAGTTCAGTTCTAGTTCAGTTCTAGTTCAGTTCTAGTTCAGTTCTAGTTCAGTTCTAGTTCAGTTCTAGTTCAGTTCTAGTTCAGTTCTAGTCAGTTCTAGTTCAGTTCTAGTTCAGTTCTAGTTCAGTTCTAGTTCAGTTCTAGTTCAGTTCTAGTTCAGTTCTAGTTCAGTTCTAGTTCAGTTCTAGTTCAGTTCTAGTTCAGTTCTAGTTCAGTTCTAGTTCAGTTCTAGTTCAGTTCTAGTTCAGTTCTAGTTCAGTTCTAGTTCAGTTCTAGTTCAGTTCTAGTTCAGTTCTAGTTCAGTTCTAGTTCAGTTCTAGTTCAGTTCTAGTTCAGTTCTAGTTCAGTTCTAGTTCAGTTCTAGTTCAGTTCTAGTTCAGTTCTAGTTCAGTTCTAGTTCAGTTCTAGTTCAGTTCTAGTTCAGTTCTAGTTCAGTTCTAGTTCAGTTCTAGTTCAGTTCTAGTTCAGTTCTAGTTCAGTTCTAGTTCAATTCTAGTTCAGTTCTAGTTCAGTTCTAGTTCAGTTCTAGTTCAGTTCTGTCTATATTACCATGTATACAAGCATCCAAATAGGGCATTTCGTTAAGCTTCTCAAAACTAATTAAACCGTTTGCATCGCAGGCCTCCATTACTTCAGAATGCAAGATTTCCTGCGCTTCAGGTTCTCGAGCCAACTATAGGTTTAAAAATAGAATAATTTTTATTACAGTCACTCTCTGTCCTTCTAATTCCTAAAACTCACCATTAACAAACAATGCGAAATTACCGTGGCCGTAGTATCCAAACCATCGATTAAAAAGGTCATGGTATGTGAGTACATATCGGTATCCTTTAGTTTATATAAATCTTTAATTTTTAATAAATGACTTAAAATGTCAAGGTGCTCATTATTATCATCACAACGTAATTTGTAGGCTTTATTCATTAGATCCATGAAAAAATCCTCACAATCCTGAGGAAAGAATTTCGCCCTATAGAAATTTAAAATACTAGGCACAAGGCCCACAATAATAGTATACAGAATAAATGCTGTATTATGTTCGGCAAATTTCCTAACATTTTCGGTTATGGGAAGGGGCTTAGACGAAAAGCTGTTAGCTTGAATACCCAAAACACAATCACTTAAGCTTTCGGAAGTGAAGCGTAAGGAAAGCTGTTGAAGAGGTTAAGCTTAATGTTTAAAATATTTAGCTTAATTTCGAAACAATTTACATCTTTGCCATTTATACAACGACGGCCCTGTTGCTTAATAAATGTCACCAATTGTTGGCAAACATGTTGCATATTTTGATAAGATTGTTTAATGCGGGCACTTGTTAAGCCGGGTGTTATTAAAGATCTTTGCAAACGCCATTCTTCACCCATTAGAAGAAAGGGATTTTTAGCTATTAAGGGATCTTTAGCTCTGTCAATCTGTAATATTGATAATAATATTTAATAAGATAATAAATATTTATTAAAACAAAATATCTACCAATTTTCCCACATCATTATCTTCGAAATTATTGAAAGCAGTCACGAATATTTCATGCACTATCTGAGGATCCAATATCATTAATTGTGGCGTGCGCATCAGATAAACCCCCACAAAATTTTCAGTGGTTTTATAACACCTTAAATAGTTAGCATATAATTTATTTAAACTTGATCAATATCATTATTATCATTATTAACTCAACTTGTATATATCATGTAAATCGTCACCAAAATGTTGTTTACGTAATAGTAAATTGGGAAATGAACCCAGTAAAGGTTTCGGTTTGGGTCCCTTGACATTCTTCTTATGCCAATAATCAAAATTCCAAGTAAGAAAATAATATATAAGTAATGCAATTGTTATAAGTAAAATTATTATTATAAACATTATTTGTTTTAGAAATAAGAAAAGAAAAATATTAAATTTAATTTAAACCGGCACAACCCGCATCCACTAAGATTTAATATCAACTGATATTAAACGAGTATGGTGCGTGAATTAGAAAATTAGAGAGCATGTGAAATTATATGACAGATGTATTGGGTTAATAGACAATGACTTTTATTTTTACTATACAAAATATACACATTTGTATACCCTACAGTTAAGAATATACTGAAGATCACATATCCGGTTTTCGAGATACGTTATAACAGCGAAGAAACATATGGTTTTATAAAATTTGTTGTTTCTTCTGAAAGTCCAATCTCTGTTATATATTCTTTCTTCTTCCAGATATTCTAACCTAAAGCTTGAAACAACTATTAAGTTGTGCCGAGCTAGAAGTGAAGACCCCTTCTACACAGAGGGAAAAAGAAATATACACGCCTAGTACCAAATTGACATCAAACATTTTATAATTTTTCAATAACATCCGTTGTCAAAGTATATACGACAACACTATGTACGTTGTCAACGTACAACAATTCGTTGTCGAAATCTAAATTTTATGGCCTATAAAATTATCTTTTGTCGATTCATCGCTATATATGATTCTTGAACTTTGAGCCCTAAAGTCATTTTGTGAAGGGGATCTTATATGAGGGTGGGTGGGGGTCTGGTGTAGGGTTTATTATAAACTGATCGTTATAAAATTTGACAAAGAGACTTAGGTTCCTATAAAATATGTTCATGTAGAATTTCACCGCTATAGATGATTCTTTTAGACAGTTATGAGTGCTAAAATGATTTTCTGAAGGGGACCTTATATTTCGGATAGGGTCAATTCTGAGCCGATCCTTATAAAATTTTACAAAGAGATTTAGGTTCCTATAAAATATCGAATTTCACCGCTATCGATGATTCTTTTAGACTGTTATGAGCGTTAAAGTCTTTTTCTGAAGGAAATCTTATATAGGGGGGCCAGGCGAAATCGTGAACCGATATTCCTCATTTTCAATACCAAACAAACTGCATCAACTAAAAGTATCTATGTAAAATTTTGATCGGTAGCTACTTCCATTTGGACTCTAGATCATCTTAAAATCTAATAAGGACCCAAAATATATATACTTTTAGGGATCTTAGACGAATATGTTACAAAGGGAATGACTAAAACCATATATGGTGGGTATAAAAAGCATCATTTAGGAGATATGAGTTTAAAAAATTTACCAGTTTTTACCACCCTAAACATTCGAATTTCCAAAAGGGCCCTGCACGAGCAATGTGCAAAATTTAAACTTGAATACTGTTTCAAGTTTAATTTTATCGTTTAGAAATGCGAAATTTATTTAAAAAAAATTTATTTCATTCTGACCCACAGTGCAGATGATGATCTCTAATCGTTACACAAAAAAAGTTCATAACGATTTGATTTTGTGGATCGTATAAAAGCTTTATTTACAAAAGCCTAAGCTTTAAATGAGCTTTTTGACACTGTTAAATGAATGATTAAAAAAACAAAGTTGCCAGACCTGTTTCAAACACGTTACATTTAACAAATGTGACCTTGAAAATAAAACCGTTAATTTGAATTAATATATTTTTATACCAAATAAAAAGTATGACGAAATGTTAGATTATGCTGATAGTAATATTTAGAAATATACTATATAATTTAATTTTTTTTAATTATTTTAAAGATCGGATCAATATAATACGTTTAATAATAAAAGCTCTGATTTAAGTAAAGTTTTATAAAGTTTTACTTAAGAATGTTATCAAATTTAATAACTTAATCAATTTATAAACTATATATAATAAGATACCCTTATCTGAAATGTAAACACAACTTTTTACCACAAAAATTTAGAACCCTATTATAATACACCCCTGAATTTTGTTATTGTTTACTATACTGATAATAAATTTGAAATTTTTCTGATGAGAGTAAACTTTTCTTAAAATGCATGCACTCAAGACATTCTTATCTCTTGACCATTTATTAGAATAGAATTTCTTTCTGTTGATCAGAATTTTGATAAGCTGATATTATTATTTGTGAAAAAAAATGTACATAAATGTCCAATTTTCTATAAAGTACACTCAGTTACTTTTTTCACTTACTAAGTGAATGATGTTTTAAGAAAAACTAAAATAATTTAAAAAATAATAAATAAGAAAATTAAGAAAAATAATTGAAATGGATACTTGGTTGATAACAATAACCCTACTTTTGGGTGCTTTGGGTTTATTTTATATATTTCTAATGTGGAATTATGGCAAATGGCATAAACGTGGTGTTCCCGAGGCCAAAACCTATCCAGTCGGTGGTTCATTTCCCTCAGCTATAACACAAAAACGTCATATAATCTATGATATTGATGAAATTTATACAGAATATAAAAATTCCAATAGATTTGTGGGAGTTTATCAGTGTCGTTCACCACAATTATTGATTGTGGATCCTGAATTGGTTCATAAAATTTATGTTAATGATTTTAAATCGTTTCATGATAATGAATTTTCAGATTTTGTAAGTATCTATTATGAGAATATACTTATATTAACATATAAATAAGAATTGAACTTAACAATTTAGCGTAACAATAAACTTTGGCACAATATATTGTGAAAGCTCTATTGAAGGTCGAAACTTTTTCTATATATAATGAATTAGAGCAAAATTTTCAAAATTGATTAATAAGATAAACTAAACCTAATTTTTAATATTTTTAGGTTGATGATAAATCTGACTTAATTTTGGCCAATAATCCATTTTCCTTAAAAGGCGATAAATGGAAGGAACGTAGATTAGAAGTTGTACCCGGTATGACTCCAAATCGTGTAAGTATAAAACAGATTGAAATTACACAAAACCGATACATTAAATAAAGTAATTATTTTCAGATTAAAAATGCTTATCCAGTAACATTAGATGTCTGTAAACGTCTAACTCAATATATAAAAGAAAAATCGGCAAAGGCCGGCAAAAATGGTTTAGATACCCATGAGGTAAGTTTCTATATAATAATATAAAATCATAAAATTTTCTTATTTTTTCCCATATGAAACTTCAACAGCTATGTTTACGCTATACTTCCGAAGTTGTAACCGATTGTGTTTTGGGCATAAAAGCAGAAAGTTTAACCGATAAACCTACACCCATTTTAGACATGATCAAAGGTCTATTTGGACAAAATTCCATGTTTCTTATTTATCAAATACTTGTTGGTTTTTTGCCCAGTTTAAAACATTTCTATAAAGCGAAAGTATTTCCCGATAAATCGAGGGAGTTCTTCTTTCATTTAATGCAGCAATCCATAGATATGAGACGTCAACAGGGTAGTGTAGGAGAACGTGGGGATTTCTTAAATTATCTATTACAATTACAAGATAAGAAAGGTTTAAATACTAACGAAATGGCTTCGCATATAATGACATTTATAACGGATGGTTTTATAACAACAGCATCTGTAGTTGCCCATTGTTTGTTAGAGGTAAGTTTTCTAATAACTCTCAAATTTAACATAAGTCCATAATGATAAAATTTATTTTATAGCTAGCCAGAAATCAACAAACCCAAGGAAAATTGCGTCAAGAAATATTGGAAAATCTCGATAGTGAAGGGATTTTAACATTTGAAAAACTATCGGAATTGCCCTACTTGGATGCCTGTTTCCATGGTAAGTTTAAGATATTTTTACAAGTATTTTTACAATAAAATGTTAATTCTCCTTCTTACTTTAGAATCTTTACGTATCTTTCCTCCGTTGGCGTTTACCACCAAACTTTGCACTGAACCCATTGAGTTGGTCAACAAAAACGGCCAAATTCTTAAAATGAAAAATAATGATGTAGTTATGATTTCACACTATAGTTTATATCACGATTCAAATAATTTCGAAGATCCTGAAAAGTTTAAACCCGAAAGATTTTTACCTGAGAATGGCGGTACTAAAAAATATCGTGATGAGGGTAAATTTATAGGTTTCGGTGATGGTCCACGCATTTGTTTGGGTAAGTAGTTGTTTGTAGTTTTCTTTTATATAAATTTATTTTAATTGTTTATTTTTTCTTAGGTATGCGTTTTGCTTTGACCCAGGGCAAAGCGGCCATTGTTGAGCTGGTGCGTAATTTTAATATTAAACCTAATCCCAAGACTCGCAGTGATAATTTATTGGATAAAACTGAATTTATTTCACGTATCGAGGGTGGTGTTTGGTTGGATTTTGAACCGAGAAGTTAGTTTTGTAAAAGTTTTTTTTGTTATTCGATGTTAAATTTAAAATAAATTGTAAAGCATATAAATATTGTTTTTTTTGATTTTATTTGTGAATTTTGTGACAACAATGCCAAGATTCTAAAGTGGACCGTCGATAGGTATAATTTTCCTTAAAGCAGCCCTTCTAAACCCTCACATTATGTATTAACTTACAGTCAGAAGAATATTTCCCATGGAATTGAACTTTTATCTTGTTATCATTTTAAATGGGCGTGGCACTTCCCATATGAATTAAATGCAAAAAAAGTATTTAAATCATACAAAAAAAAAAGCTGAAATTCTCAAATTTTGCACGAACAACTTTAAAATCTATATGAACTTTAAAAAACGCACGGACTAGGACTAGGGAAAGGGGGCATGGCATCCACATATGAATTAAATACAGAAGTTCGTACATCTGGGACACTACAGGTCATATACATATAATTTGATGGTGGGTGTATAACATTCGGCATAGCCAGATATAACATTCTTTCTAATCAAAAAAGAGCTTTGAGAATAAAAAAATAATAATACTAATAAATAAATTGTAATCATTTTTTTTCTTAAACTTTTGATAACCTCTTCTTAATAAGAACTTTAAATTACAGTATAAATACATATGTAAATCCTATTGTGTTCATTGTAATCAAGTATCTCTACCTTAAAATTAGTTTATCTACTACTAATAGTAAATAAACTCTTACACGGTAGAGTGATGAAATTATAAATGTCTAATTCATCACTTAGCAAATTATTAAGGCGTGAGGATAGCCCCCCATAAATGTGTATGTTGTTAATGATTGATAAGAATGAAAGCACAATAAATTAATTATTAACACATAATTTTATGAGATAAAATTAACTACTTTTTTAATAATATTGCGGATTCTTGGTAACGAATTATTTTTATTTGCCTATTTTAAAATACCAGTTAAACTTAGTCCAATCAGTTAGTTAGTTTGTTTGGCTGTTAGTTGGTTAGGTAGTTAGTTCGTTAGTTAGTTAGTTAGTTAGTGAATTAGTTAGTTAGTTAGTTAGTTAGTTAGTTAGTTAGTTAGTTAGTTAGTTAGTTAGTTAGGTTAGTTAGTTAGCTAGTTAGTTAGTTGGTTAGTTAGTTAGTTAGTTAGTAGTTAGTTAGTTTAGTTAGTTAGTTAGTTAGTAAGTTAGTTAGTTAGTTAGTAGTTAGTAGTTAGTTAGTTAGTTAGTTAGTTAGTTAGTTAGTTAGTTAGTAGTTTAGTTAGTTAGTTAGTTAGTTAGTTAGTTAGTTAGTTAGTTAGTTAGTTAGTTAGTTAGTGTAGTTAGTTAGTTAGTTAGTTAGTTAGTTAGTTAGTTAGTTAGTTAGTTAGTTAGTAGTTAGTTAGTTAGTTAGTTAGTTAGTAGTTAGTTAGTAGTTAGTTAGTTAGTTAGTTAGTTAGTTAGTTAGTAGTAGTTAGTTAGTTAGTTAGTTAGTTAGTTAGTTAGTTAGTAGTTAGTGTTAGTTAGTTAGTTAGTAGTTAGTAGTTAGTAGTTAGTTAGTTAGTAGTTAGTTAGTTAGTTAGTAGTTAGTTAGTTAGTTAGTTAGTTTAGTTAGTTAGTCTGTTAGTAGTTAGTTAGTTAGTTAGTTAGTTAGTTAGTTAGTTAGTTAGTTAGTAGTTAGTTAGTTAGTTAGTTAGTTAGTTAGTAGTTAGTTAGTAGTTAGTTAGTTAGTTAGTTAGTTAGTTAGTTAGTTAGTTAGTTAGTTAGTTAGTTAGTTAGTAGTAGTTAGTTAGTTAGTTAGTTAGTTAGTTAGTTAGTTAGTTAGTTAGTAGTTAGTTAGTTAGTTAGTTAGTAGTTAGTTAGTTAGTTAGTTAGTTAGTTAGTTAGTTAGTTAGTAGTTAGTTAGTTAGTTAGTTAGTTAGTTAGTTAGTTAGTTAGTTAGTTAGTTAGTTAGTTAGTTAGTTAGTTAGTTAGTTAGTTAGTTAGTTAGTTAGTTAGTTAGTTAGTTAGTTAGTTAGTTAGTTAGTAGTTAGTTAGTTAGTTAGTTAGTTAGTTAGTTAGTTAGTTAGTTAGTAGTTAGTTAGTTAGTTAGTTAGTTAGTTAGTTAGTTAGTTAGTTAGTTAGTAGTTAGTTAGTTAGTAGTTAGTTAGTAGTTAGTTAGTTAGTTAGTTAGTTAGTTAGTTAGTTAGTTAGTTAGTTAGTTAGTTAGTTAGTTAGTAGTTAGTTAGTTAGTTAGTTAGTTAGTTAGTTAGTTAGTTAGTTAGTTAGTAGTTAGTTAGTTAGTTAGTTAGTTAGTTAGTTAGTTAGTTAGTTAGTAGTTAGTTAGTTAGTTAGTTAGTTAGTTAGTTAGTTAGTTAGTTAGTTAGTTAGTTAGTTAGTTAGTTAGTTAGTTAGTTAGTTAGTAGTTAGTTAGTTAGTTAGTTAGTTAGTTAGTTAGTTAGTTAGTTAGTTAGTTAGTTAGTTAGTTAGTTAGTTAGTTAGTTAGTTAGTTAGTTAGTTAGTTAGTTAGTTAGTTAGTTAGTTAGTTAGTTAGTTAGTTAGTTAGTTAGTTAGTTAGTTAGTTAGTTAGTTAGTTAGTTAGTTAGTTAGTTAGTTAGTTAGTTAGTTAGTTAGTTAGTTAGTTAGTTAGTTAGTTAGTTAGTTAGTTAGTTAGTTAGTTAGTTAGTTAGTTAGTTAGTTAGTTAGTTAGTTAGTTAGTTAGTTAGTTAGTTAGTTAGTTAGTTCGTTAGTAGTTAGTTAGTTAGTTAGTTAGTTAGTTAGTTAGTTAGTTAGTTAGTTAGTTAGTTAGTTAGTTAGTTAGTTAGTTAGTTAGTTAGTTAGTTAGTAGTAGTTAGTTAGTTAGTTAGTTAGTTAGTTAGTTAGTTAGTTAGTTAGTTAGTTAGTTAGTTAGTTAGTTAGTTAGTTAGTTAGTTAGTTAGTTAGTTAGTTAGTTAGTTAGTTAGTTAGTAGTTAGTTAGTTAGTTAGTTAGTTAGTAGTTAGTTAGTTAGTTAGTTAGTTAGTTAGTTAGTTAGTTAGTTAGTTAGTTAGTTAGTTAGTTAGTTAGTAGTTAGTTAGTTAGTTAGTTAGTTAGTTAGTTAGTTAGTTAGTTAGTTAGTTAGTTAGTTAGTTAGTTAGTTAGTTAGTAGTTAGTTAGTAGTTAGTTAGTTAGTTAGTTAGTTAGTTAGTTAGTTAGTTAGTTAGTTAGTTAGTTAGTTAGTTAGTTAGTTAGTTAGTTAGTTAGTTAGTTAGTTAGTTAGTTAGTTAGTTAGTTAGTAGTTAGTTAGCTTAGTTAGTTAGTTAGTTAGTTAGTTAGTTAGTTAGTTAGTTAGTTAGTTAGTTAGTTAGTTAGTTAGTTAGTTAGTTAGTTAGTTAGTTAGTTAGTTAGTTAGTTAGTTAGTTAGTTAGTAGTTAGTTAGTTAGTTAGTTAGTTAGTTAGTTAGTTAGTTAGTTAGTTAGTTAGTTAGTTCATAATGATCAAATCAAAAATATTTCTGAAGGTTTTCAGTGAACTTTTATAAACCTTTAATTCAGAAAGTTAGAAAATTTCATCAGTTTATGAATTCATATTAGATACCCTTATCTGAAATGCAAACACAACAAAATAATGATGCAATTTTAAGTTGAATTTGCCCAAAAAGAAGTTTAGAATCCCATTTTACTACAGCTCTGAACTTTGTTATTGTTTACTTATCTGACTCTAAATTTTAAAATTTGTTTGGTGAGAGTAAACTTTTGTTAAAATTTTTGCACTCAAGTCATTCTTCTCTTGACCATTTATTAGAATATAGTTTCTGTTTAGCAATCAAAATTTTGATAAGCTGATAATATTATTTGAGAGATGTTTTAAAATCTTAAAATTTTTTACAATATAAACTCCCAATTTTTAATGAAAAACTCTTAGTCATTTCTTTCATTTGCTAAGTGAATGATCACTAAAAAATCTCTAAATAAATTTTTAAATATATAGAAAATAATTAAAATGGATACCTGGCTGATAACCATAACCCTATTTTTGGGTGCTTTGAGTTTATTTTATATATTTCTAATGTGGAATTATGGCAAATGGCGTAAACGTGGTGTAGCCGAGGCTAAAACCTATCCAGTGGCTGGTTCATTTCCCTCAGCTATAACACAAAAACGTCATATCATCTACGATATTGATGACATTTATAGAGAATATAAAAATTCCGACAGATTTGTGGGAGTTTATCAGAGTCGTTCACCTCAATTATTGATACTGGATCCTGAATTGGTTCATAAAATCCATGTTAATGATTTTAAATCGTTTCATGATAATGAATTTTCAGATTTTGTAAGTATCTGTTTGGCTTTTTATAAAATCTTGAAAATTGATTTATATATACATATCTTATTTTCAAATATTTTTAGATTGATGAAAAATCGGACTTAATCTTGGCCAATAATCCATTTGCTTTGAAAGGTGATAAATGGAAGGAACGCAGATTAGAAATTGTACCCGGTATGACTCCAAATCGTGTAAGTATAAAACAGATCGAAATTACACAAAACAGATACATTAAATAAAGTAATTATTTTCAGATTAAAAATGCTTATCCAGTAACATTAGATGTCTGTAAACGTCTAACTCAATATATAAAAGAAAAATCGGCAAAGGCCGGCAAAAATGGTTTAGATACCCATGAGGTAAGTTAATATATAATAATATAAAATCTATAATTTTTTTATTTTTCTCAATATCAAACTTCAACAGCTATGTTTACGCTATACTTCCGAAGTTGTAACCGATTGTGTTTTGGGCATAAAAGCAGAAAGTTTAACCGATAAACCTACACACATTTTAGACATGATCAAAGGTTTATTTGGTCAAAATTCCATGTTTCTTATTTATCAAATACTTGTTGGTTTATTGCCCAGTTTGAAATATTTCTATAAAGTGAAAATATTCCCCGATAAATCGAGAAAGTTCTTCTTTCATTTAATGCAGCAATCCATAGATATGAGACGTCAGCAGGGGAGTGTAGAAGAACGTGGGGATTTCTTAAATTATCTGTTGCAATTACAAGATAAGAAAGGTTTAAACACTAACGAAATGGCTTCGCATATAATGACATTTTTAACAGATGGTTTTATAACAACAGCATCTGTAGTTGCCCATTGTTTGTTAGAGGTGAGTTCTCTAATAACTCCCAAATTTAACATAAGTACATAACAATAAAATTTATTTTTTAGCTAGCCAGAAATCAACAAGCCCAAGAAAAATTGCGTCAAGAAATATTGGAAAATCTCGATAGTGAAGGGATTTTAACATTTGAAAAACTATCGGAATTGCCCTATTTGGATGCCTGTTTCCATGGTAAGTTTAAAGACTTTTTACAAATAATTAAAAATATTTAATTCTTCTTCTCACTCCAGAATCTTTACGTATCTTTTCTCCCCTGCCGTTTATCACCAAACTTTGCACTGAACCCATTGAATTGGTTAATAAAAATGGTCAGATTCTTAAAATGAAAAAGAATGATGTAGTTATGATTTCTCACTATAGTCTATATCACGATCCAAATAATTTCGAAGATCCAGAAACCTTTAAACCCGAAAGATTTTTACCTGAGAATGGTGGTGTTAAGAAATATCGTGATGAGGGTAAATTTATAGGTTTCGGTGATGGTCCACGCATTTGTTTGGGTAAGTAGTTGTTTTTAGTTCTGTTTTATATAAATCTATTTTAATTGTTTATTTTTTCTTAGGCATGCGTTTTGCTTTGACCCAGGGTAAAGCGGCTATTGTTGAGCTGGTTCGCAATTTCAATATTAAACTTAATCCCAAAACCCGCAGTGATAACTTATTGGATAAAAATGAATTTATTACACGTATCGAGGGTGGCGTTTGGTTGGAATATGAGCCTAGAAGTTAGACTTTGTTAATGTTTTTATTAAATAAAATAATAAATTGAAAAGTATATCGATATTACTATTTTTATTTAAAGTGGATACTAATTTAATTCTAAAGAGAACCTTCGATAGAGGCTCTTCAACACCTCTTATTTCTACCTTGAAGAATATTTAGTTTCATAAGTTGCGAAACCGTTTTCCCTTAAGTAAATATAACAAATATTATCCTTTCAATTTTAGCGTCGAATATTTATATATAACTTCCTTCCCTAGTATCTTATTCAAGTACTTAGTATATATTCCGTAATAAAATCTCCTTTGGGGAACGTTATCTTGCTATACTTCCCGTATCTTGGTATAGATTACAATAAAAATACCGGCATATAAAACTTGTTACATTAATCATAACAATAATAAATAAACAAACGAAAGCTTTTAAGTATATTTACTACAAAGAGCTTTTAAATGCTCCATCATCTGTTCTACACACAAAAAATAATAACCCACTCATGAACGAGTACTTAAACAAAATATGTATATCACAAATTTCAACCGGCAAATAAACACCATGACTAGGGAAAATACTACACAATAACAATCATTCTGTTTACAACAACCAACAAAACGTGACACAAAGAATACAAGATATAAGAGGAACAGCAATTGATTAAATTAACTAAAAATACACAAATTTAAACAGGAAAACAATGCTATTAATAACTCTTTGGTTACTATTGGCTGTGATCTTCGTCATCTATATATTTCTTATAAGGAATTTTAATTATTGGAAAAGACATGATGTTAATGGACCAAAACCTGAGATTATTTTTGGCAATCTACCTAGTGCCATAACGAAGAAGAGGCATTTCATGTATGACCTATGGGATATTTATAAGTAAGTATTATTTTCCATTAATTAAAATAAATTGAAGTCAATTGAGTCCATTGATATTTTAACTATTGGGAATACTATTTTTAACAAAAATCGTATTCCTTCTCTTTGCAGTTCATATAAACTACTGAAGATTTTGTGGGTATATTTAAAAATCGCACTCCACAACTAATGATTTTAAATCCAGCATTGGCTAGAAGTATTTATGTTAGTAACTTCAAACATTTCCATGATAATGAACAAGTGAAATTTGTAAGTTATTTGAGTTTTTTTTGAGAAAACAAGTTAGATCGTATCATAACTATGTAATAGTTAACTAACTAATTAACTAACTAACTACTAACTAACTACTAACTAACTAACACTAACTAACTAACTAACTAACTAACTAACTAACTAACTAACTAACTAACTAACTACTAACTAACTAACTAACTAACTACTAACTAACTAACTAACTAACTAACTAACTAACTAACTAACTAACTAACTAACTAACTACTACTAACTACTAACTAACTAACTAACTAACTAACTACTAACTACTAACTAACTACACTAACTAACTAACTAACTAACTAACTAACTAACTAACTAACTAACTACTAACTAACTAACTAACTAACTAACATACTAACTAACTAACTAACTAACTACTAACTAACTAACTAACTAACTAACTAACTAACTAACTAACTAACTAACTAACTAACTAACTAACTAACTAACTAACTAACTAACTACTAACTACTAACTAACTAACTAACTAACTCTAACTAACTAACTAACTAACTAACTAACTAACTAACTAACTACTAACTAACTAACTAACTACTAACTAACTAACTACTAACTACTAACTAACTAACTAACTAACTAACTAACTAACTAACTAACTAACTAACTAACTAACTAACTAACTAACTAACTAACTAACTAACTAACTAACTAAACTAACTACTAACTAACTAACTAACTAACTAACTAACTAACTAACCTAACTAACTAACTACTAACTAACTAACTAACATAACTAACTAACTAACTAACTAACTAACTAACTAACTAACTAACTAACTAACTAACTACTAACTAACTAACTAACTAACTAACTACTAACTAACTAACTAACTACTACTAACTAACTAACTAACTAACTAACTAACTACTAACTACTACTAACTAACTAACTACTAACTAACTAACTAACTAACTAACTAACTACTAACTAACTACTACTAACTAACTAACTAACTAACTAACTAACTAACTACTACTACTAACTAACTAACTAACTAACTAACTAACTAACTAACTAACTAACTAACTAACTAACTACTACTAACTACTAACTACTAACTAACTAAACTACTACTACTAACTAAACTAACTAACTACTAACTAACTACTAACTAACTAACTAACTACTAACTAACTAACTACTACTAGAACTTTACTAGAACTGAACTAGAACTGAACTAGAACTGAACTAGAACTGAACTAGAACTGAACTAGAACTGAACTAGAACTGAACTAGAACTGAACTAGAACTGAACTAGAACTGAACTAGAACTGAACTAGAACTGAACTAGAACTGAACTAGAACTGAAGAACTAGAACTAGAACAGAACTAGAACTGAACTAGAACTGAACTAGAACTGAACTAGAACTCACTAGAACTGAACTAGAACAGAACTGAACTAGAACTAGAACTGAACTAGAACTGAACTAGAACAGAACTAGAACTGAACTAGAACTGAACTAGAACTGAACTAGAACTGAACTAGAACTGAACTAGAACTGAACTAGAACTGAACTAGAACTGAACTAGAACTGAGGGTCAGTCGATGAATAATTGTATGCCCCTTCGTAAAATAAATTCATTTTACATATTTATGCTACGATTTCGTTTAATTAATTAACTTGTTTAACACTTTTTCATTGCAGACTGATGAGAAAACCGACTTTTTGTTCGCGAACAACCCATTTGTGGCTGGAGGTGAGAAATGGAAGGAAAGAAGATTACAAATAACACCCGGTTTAACACAACAGAGGGTACGTTTTAGAATATTGTATATACAGTAGTTTTTCCGATTTAACGAACCCATATGTTAAACTTTCTAGATCAAAAATATGTTTCCCGTAACTTTGGAAATCTGTAAACATATGTATGTGCCGTTATATTGAGGAACAAATTAAGGTGCCTGCGAAAGAGGGCATCGATGGCAAAGATGTAAGACAAAACTTCCTTATATACTTAAATTTCGCATTAAAAATAAATTTATTTTAAACAGTTATCTTCCCGTTTTATGGCCGATATAATAGCAGACTGTGTAATAGGTCTTAAAAGTGATAGTTTTAAAGATCGCAACGCCTCACCTTTACTCATAATGCAAAATCAAATGTTTGAATATTCATTTTTATACTCCACTTTATTGGGTTTATTTCTGGGAATTTCGAAATTCTATAAGCAACGTTTTCTTACCAAAAAGTTTGAGGAGTATTTTATAGATCTTATGGGTAAAGCGGTAGAATTAAGAAAAGGCATCAGTGCTGACAAGTCTGTGGAAGAGAGAGCTGACTTTTTGAATCATTTATTACAATTACAAGAGAAAAAGAGTCTAACGCAAATGGAAATTTCAGCACATACAATGACTTTTCTATTAGATGGGTTTGAAACCGTGTCTTCGGTATTGGCTCACAGTTTATTAATGGTAAATATATTTGGACCTGAAAGCGCATTGCTTTTATTTCACACGTGTCTTTATAATTTAAGTTGGCCCGCCATCCAGAAGTTCAGCAAAAGGTGCGTTCGGAAATTAATGAAAAAGTGGGTTCTCAAAGGAATTTTGAAGTCATATCTGATTTACCATATTTAAATGCCTGTATACATGGTCAGTATGACTAAGGCTTCATACATGAAATTTTTAACTAATATTTGTTTATCTCTATTTACTTCCAGAAATTCTTCGTTTCTTTCCCGTAGTATTTAGTGCTCGTAAAGTCTGCACCGAAACCATAAAACTTACTAATAGAAATCGCAAAAGTTATTAGGTTCCCAAAGGTCTTGTGGTGGTTATACCTCAATATTCCATAATGATGGATGAAAAATTTTACCCAAATCCTATGGAATTTCGACCAGAACGTTTTCTCGAAGAAAATGGTGGAGTTAAGAAATATTTTGATATGGGTGCCTTTTGGGGTTATGGAGATGGACCACGTATTTGTTTAGGTGAGAAAAAATTACAAATTTATTGGGGTTGATGCTCAAATATTTTCTTCGCATTTAAATTTTAGGCATACGTTTCGGTTTAGTGCAAATAAAAGCAGCCTTAGTGGACATTTTAAGTAAATTTGTTATCAAACCAAATCCTAAAACCAGATCTGATTATACATTTGATCCCAACTATTTTTTGGCACGATTGGATGGTGGTATTAATTTAGATTTTGAATTGTTATAAGAATTTTTGAAAAGGTTAAATTTGCAAAATTAACTATTCAAATTTCTATGTATTTAATAAATAATAAATTATTTTCTCACTTACCCCTTTAAAAATTTGTATATCTGCAAATACAAAAGAAAAATAATTTATTGTTAAACATGTGTTGAATATAAATTTATTGTTGTTTAATTAGTTTGAAATAATTTGTTGATATAATCATTAGTTTTTATTTGTGGAGGTGATTAGAATATTAATTAATGAATGAATTAACAAAATTTTAATCCAAATGACAAAATTTAGAATTTTGGGGCCACTAGACCCCAGTTTGGTATTAATAGTTATTGTAAAATATCTTTTTAGAATACTTTTAATTAAAAATAATTTAATTCTAGTTCAGTTCTAGTTCAGTTCTAGTTCAGTTCTAGTTCAGTTCTAGTTCAGTTCTAGTTCAGTTCTAGTTCAGTTCTAGTTCAGTTCTAGTTCAGTTCTAGTTCAGTTCTAGTTCAGTTCTAGTTCAGTTCTAGTTCTAGTTTCTAGTTCAGTTCTAGTTCAGTTCTAGTTCAGTTCTAGTTCAGTTCTAGTTCAGTTCTAGTTCAGTTCTAGTTCAGTTCTAGTTCAGTTCTAGTTCAGTTCTAGTTCAGTTCTAGTTCAGTTCTAGTTCAGTTCTAGTTCAGTTCTAGTTCAGTTCTAGTTCAGTTCTAGTTCAGTTTCTAGTTCAGTTCTAGTTCAGTTCTAGTTCAGTTCTAGTTCAGTTCTAGTTCAGTTCTAGTTCAGTTCTAGTTCAGTTCTAGTTTCAGTTCTAGTTCAGTTCTAGTTCAGTTCTAGTTCAGTTCTAGTTCAGTTCTAGTTCAGTTCTAGTTCAGTTCTAGTTCAGTTCTAGTTCAGTTCTAGTTCAGTTCTAGTTCAGTTCTAGTTCAGTTCTAGTTCAGTTCTAGTTCAGTTCTGTTCTAGTTCAGTTCTAGTTTTCAGTTCTAGTTCAGTTCTAGTTCTGTTCTAGTTCAGTTCTAGTTCAGTTCTAGTTCAGTTCTAGTTCAGTTTGTTCATTTCTTTCTAGCTCAGTTCTAGCTCAGTTCTAGTTCAGTTCTAGTTCAGTTCTAGTTCAGTTCTAGTTCAGTTCTAGTTCAGTTCTAGTTCAGTTCTAGTTCAGTTCTAGTTCAGTTCTAGTTCAGTTCTAGTTCAGTTCTAGTTCAGTTCTAGTTCAGTTCTAGTTCAGTTCTAGTTCAGTTCTAGTTCAGTTCTAGTTCAGTTCTAGTTCAGTTCTAGTTCAGTTCTAGTTCAGTTCTAGTTCAGTTCTAGTTCAGTTCTAGTTCAGTTCTAGTTCAAGTTCAGTTCTAGTTCAAGTTCAGTTCTAGTTCAGTTCTAGTTCAAGTTCAGTTCTAGTTCAAGTTCAGTTCTAGTTCAAGTTCAGTTCTAGTAGTTCAGTTCTAGTTCAGTTCTAGTTCAGTTCTAGTTCAGTTCTAGTTCAGTTCTAGTTCAGTTCTAGTTCAGTTCTAGTTCAGTTCTAGTTCATTTCTAGTTCTTCTAGTTCAGTTCTAGTTCAGTTCTAGTTCAGTTCTAATTCAGTTCAGTTCTAGTTCAGTTCTAGTTCAGTTCTAGTTCAGTTCTAGTTCAGTTCTAGTTCAGTTCTAGTTCAGTTCTAGTTCAGTTCTAGTTCAGTTCTAGTTCAGTTCTAGTTCAGTTCTAGTTCAGTTCTAGTTCAGTTCTAGTTCAGTTCTAGTTCAGTTCTAGTTCAGTTCTAGTTCAGTTCTAGTTCAGTTCTAGTTCAGTTCTAGTTCAGTTCTAGTTCAGTTCTAGTTCAGTTCTAGTTCAGTTCTAGTTCAGTTCTAGTTCAGTTCTAGTTCAGTTCTAGTTCTAGTTCAGTTCTAGTTCAGTTCTAGTTCAGTTCTAGTTCAGTTCTAGTTCAGTTCTAGTTCAGTTCTAGTTCAGTTCTAGTTCAGTTCTAGTTCAGTTCTAGTTCAGTTCTAGTTCAGTTCTAGTTCAGTTCTAGTTCAGTTCTAGTTCAGTTCTAGTTCAGTTCTAGTTCAGTTCTAGTTCAGTTCTGTTCAGTTCTAGTTCAGTTCTAGTTCAGTTCTAGTTCAGTTGTAGTTCAATTCTAGTTCAGTTCAGTTTAAGTTCAGTTCTAGTTCAGTTCAGTTTAAGTTCAGTTCTAGTTCGGTTCTAGTTCAGTTTTAGTTCAGTTCTAGTTCAGTTCTAGTTCATTTCTAGTTCAATTCTAGTTCAGTTCTAGTTCAGTTCTAGTTCAATTCTAGTTCAGCTCTAGTTAAGTTTATGTTCAGTTCTAGTTCAATTCTAGTTCAGTTTAAATTCAGTTCAATTCTAGTTCAGCTCTAGTTAAGTTTATGTTCAGTTCTAGTTCAATTCTAGTTCAATTCTAGTTCAGTTTAAATTCAGTTCGGTTCTAGTTCAGTTCTAGGTTAGTTCTGTTCTATAATTCAAATTGTCTATAATTTAGATAATTTTAAGAAATTTTTTTTTTAATTGTCTATATTTGTAAAATTCTTTTAATTTTCTAAACATAAAAAAAATTTTGAAAAAATTTTTGAAAAACTTCTAAATCATAAATAAATTAAATGGAAAAATGGGATTCGAGAATTTCCGTTTCGCATCGCTAATAAGAACTATAAACATACATATGATCGGAATAGATATTTATTTAATTTGCAAATTTCGAACCAAAAATCTCTACTAATTAGTTAATTGTAGTTGTATAAACCTAATTGAATAGATATTTAACTAAAATTTCTATTTTATCTATCTTATCAAATATTTATGTACAGTTTTCCTGTTATCACTAATTAATATCAAATAAAACTTTTTTAGTTTAATCATTTGAAGCTGATGAAATCGATTCTAAATATTAATACGAATTTTAAGATTTTTATTACTCTATGGAAATACTGCAATTTCAATTTAGAATCATTAAATTATCATATTATTGTACTCTCTCACATATATGTATATACTTTTTTAATCTCTCCGTTTAATCAAAACTACCGTAATAATGATAACATAGCTAATTCGAAATTATTCTCATAACCAAAAAAAAAGCTCTCAATTATTGTTTATTTAGAAGTGAAATTATGAAAAATTATCCATTGCCTTTGTAGCTCTCAATAATAACAGAAGTTTGAAAATTTTAATTTATTTATAATATCGCATACGAAAAATGTTTTTAACAATAATTTCTGGCATTATAGCCTTTATAATATTGTTTTATATATTTTTAATATGGAATTTTGATTATTGGAAAAAATTGGGTATTTCGAGTCCCAAACCTCAGCCATTTGTTGGTAATTATAACAGTGTTTTGACACAAAAACGTCATATAGCTTATGATCTACAAGATCTTTATGAGTGAGTATTAATTATGGTAAATAAATTTACATAAACTTTTGTTATTTTATTGCAATTTGTTTTGAATAGAAAATACAAACACACCGATAATTTCGTGGGCATCTTTAGTTGTCGTAGTCCTCAGTTGTTGATAACAAACGGAGAACTGGTGCTACGTATTTATAGTACAGATTTCAAACATTTTCATGATAATGAAGCTTCACAAATGGTGAGTAATTTTATGTTTAATCTAAATTGAAATTGCAAAATTTTCATTGGTTCAGTTATCGAAGAATAATAAACACCTTAAACTTCTTATTATAAGTTTATAACGATATCATCAGATTCACCTGATTAAAAAGCATAAAACAAATGTACATCATATGAGATGTCATTAAATTATTTTTCTTGTGATATAGACACATATGCCACGCTATGCCAATCATATCGATTATAGCATCCAAAAAATATATTCAAAATTATGGAAAAATTATGGTTATTTTCGGATATTTCTGCTGATTTTCAACAGAAAACTTCTCAAAAGCTGATCTGAAAGAATTGTTAACTATTTTAATCCCGAAGATATCTGGGGTCTTCAGATTTATTTTTTAAAAATCATACGGACATCGTCCAAACGAGAGTATTTACGTTTAGCCCCCTAGGTACTCTTGTTCGAACTCTAAGTCATATCTATATCATCATACTCAAGGACCTAGAATTTATACCTCTGTGTGTCTATGGCTAATATTTCAATGTGTTACGAACGATGTGAAAAAAATCAATATAAAAAACACACGGACATCGTCAAAACGTTTAGCCCCCTAGGTACTCTTGTTAGGACTCTAAGTCATATCTATATCATCTTACTTAAGGACGCAGAATTTATACCTTTGTGTGTTTATAGCTAATATTTCAATGTGTTACGAACGATGTGAAAAAATCAATATAAAAAACAGACGGACATCGTCCAAACAGGATTTTTTGTTAAAAGTTTAGCCCTCTAGATTCTTTGGTTCAGAAAATATACTTTTGGGAGACCCCTGTGATAATAAAGGGATAAGTTTCTATCAATTAGATTATTAATAACTTTATTTTACAAATTTAGGTGGATGAGAAATCCGACTTTTTATTTGCCAACAATCCATTTTCCTTGACCGGTGAGAAATGGAAAGAAAGACGTGCTGAAATAACACCAGGTCTCACAGTAAGCAGAGTAAGTTTGACAAAAAACAGTAACAAAAAATACAATTTAAATTAATTAAAAAAACTCCTCAAGATAAAAACCGTATATCCCATCACCAAAAGAGTTTGTCAGAATATGACCAAATTTATCGAAGAACAAATAAAAATCGGAGCCAAAGAGGGTATCGATGCTAAAGATGTAAGTTTAAAAAAAAATAACCCTTAATTTGATCTGGCATGACTTACTTCGTGAAATAATAAAAAATTAACTTTAAATTTTACCCGAATACAGCTCAGTCTACGTTTCACCTCGGATGTAGTTACCGATTGTGTTTTGGGTCTAGAGGCAAAAAGTTTTGAACTCAAACCTTCACCCATTATGACAATGATTAATCAAATATTCGAACAAAATCTTATATTAGTCTTATACACCATAATCTTGGGTTTATTTCCTTCATTGAGTAGTATATATAAAATACGTTTTTTCCCCAAAAAGTGTGAAAAGTTTTTCGTGCAGTTAATGAAAGATTCCATAGATTTGAGAAAATCTCAAAAGAAGGAGGGTGTAAATGAAAATCGTGTGGATTTTTTGAATTATATATTACAGTTGCAGGAGAAAAAGAAACTTTCGACATTAGATATGGCTGCTCATACAATGACATTTTTATCGGATGGTTATGAGACAACG